ACCAGCAACCGAAGAGGATCTGGGAATTCAAGGTGCTTTCACAGGTATAGCAGCAAGAGAGACCCATGGTACGACAGAACGAAAGCTTTCGGAAGGCGTGAAGCATATGGTTGCCTGCAATTTGAAGGCTCTTCGAAGACAGCAATGAGGGCAGCCATGATAATGTGTTCGTTTTTTCGGCTTTTTGAGAGTCAGTGATATTTGCAACCTTCGTTTCTCAGATCTGAAATGCCAAAAAATTCAATTGGATGGCTTTTTATTTGAAAATCATGGAAAACCAAGAGAGAAAAGAAACATCTGTAGCATTCCTTTGGGAGTCTATTACCCGAAAATTACCCTACACACTCTGCACCCAATTCTATCTATATCTACAATGGTCGATATGCTCTCTTAAAGGACTGCGTAACAACTAAGATTCAAAAAACGCCAGGCGAGGCTGGCTTGGATCACGAAGACTCACTCCACATTCTTTTCCTGATATAGCTGCTACCAGCGCTTTCAAGGAGGAATCGATTCTCATATAAAGCTCACGGTTAGATGGATCTTCCACTTCTTTCCAAGCTTGTATTGATCCATACTTGCGCAAGTTTTCTTATCGTCTAATCCACTACACTACTTCAATGTGACCAATGCAATGATAATCTACTTTCATTATCTCATGGCATTTTTGAAGTTTTCGGTTATATGTCTTCTTTAAAGCAGAAGAAAAAAGTCATGAAGTAAATGCCATTGATTCTTTGTACTTATAATTTAAAGAATCAAAATGCTGTCTTCAGCGAGAAGATGTAAAAGTTGTCCTCATGGTGTTTTTTTGGGGAGAAGGCATAGGGAGCACACGAAAAGACTCTGTTGAAGGAGTCGCGCGAAGTAGTAATACCAGTACAAAAGAACTGTTGCAGACATTTTACTCGCTCTAAAAGATTTCGGCTTGGTGAACCTATATCTTTATGATTCCTGCACTCTTTCCTTATTATGCACAGGTGAGCTTAACACCTCAAGTTTATGTTCAAAGAGCGGCGTAAACGCTTTGTTTGGACTCTCTTACCAAGCATGTTCCACTGATTCTTCACAAGCTTCCGACCAAAGTAGTAGCACTTCTTCACATTAGA